TAGTGAACTGGCAGGTGCCCATTCGGGCGTTGTATGGGTAGTCCGACTCCTTTTCGATGCCACCCTCTTTGATGACCAGTTGTATGGCCTCAACGGTATCGCCACCTGTTTGGCAGACATCACCGCCGGAATGGATGCAGTCGACGATCTGTGAGGGCGCCAACTCTACCAGATTTCCGGTTGCGATAGCGTATTGACCTATGGGTCGGGCGTTTGTATTAGTATTTTGTGTGATTTACGAGATATTAAATAGATATTTATTAATATTTTATATTCGGCTTTTCATTTTAAATCTCTCTCTCTCTCTCTCTCTCAAAATAATTTATACCGTATTCCCGCACATCCACCGGCATGCCGATATAAAGTGAGGTTGATGAGACTGCCGTTATACCCCAGGGTATATCGGCATGCCGTTATATGTGAGGTGTAAAACATGTTTTGAAATTTAAATTTCAATAAACTAAAATTCACAAATAAGTGTATTAAATTTTATAAATTGAATTATAAGTGAATATTATCTTATTAATATCTAAAAAGGTGGTCATTAGATTAAGAAAGTAAAAGGTTTATTCATTCTAAATGCTTTCTACTCACCGTGTCAAATAATTTTATACTATAAAGTACCCAATTATTAAACGCATTTTTGTAAATTTGTCAAGATGTGAAAGAAATAACTTACTAAACAGTTGATTAGTTATTTTGATAAGCTAATTTAAATTAATGATTTTTCATTTTTGTCAATAGAAATATTTTTAAACTCAATTTATTTTGCCTCACTTTACAACGGCATGCCGGTGGATGTGCGGGAATACGGTATATAAAACTTACTTTCAATTGAATCGGTGGCCGAGAATGCGAAACACGAACCGCACTATAGATACGAATGCAATATATATTAATAATAATCCTAAATGAAATAGTACAAAAAATAAAACATATACCTGTCCCTGATTCTTGACGTGTGTGACCACATTCTTGGTTCTCCAGTCGACACTGTCGGCCAGGGATCCGACGGGGATCTCAGCAAATGTCACGTTCAAGAGGCTTGGGTTCAGTCTGAGGGTCAGTTGCTTTCTGTACTCCTCGTTAGTCATGTCTGCAAACTGGTTGACACCCAATCGGAAAGTGTGGACACCGTTGTCGGCCTCGGCGTTATGGGCTTTGATGTACGCATAGTTGGCCTCAAAAATCTGCCGGCGCTCAGCCTCCTCGACCTCACCACCGAAACCGTTAC